AGTATAGTTGCAAATAAAATTAAGGGTTTGTATATTTGCATATAATATTAATCATGAAGGTAGGTGGGGGTAATTTTCTCTTAATAAATTCCACACTTGTAATTTTTCATTTTTCTTTCACATGTCCTCCATAAATAAGACACATCACCATTCAATTTGTGCACTTCACATCTCCGTTGCCGAGGCTTTGAGACTGCAAATCAAATTCGATAATCCAGGGCCCACCAAAGTCGCGGCGGGCCCACCATCTTTGTTGCCAAGTCCATGAAATCGCAAATCAAATTTAGGAATCCACGGCCACCAGCGCTGCAGTGGGCCCACCGCTTGGAGGATCGTCGAAAAACTTGGCATGCTCGAGGATGGCACTCGTCTCGACGGATTCAAAGAAAAACCGATTGGAGCAGTCGGAGCAAACCTCAGTGCAGTTTCGATTTGAGGGATGAAAATTGGGGGGGGAAGACGTGAAGAAATTTGAGGACATTTTAAGAAGTTAAAATTGGTGAGTGATTGCATATGACGTCCCACCAATTTGGCGGGACGCGGTATAAACAAATTGAAAGATAATTTCGAGCCATGCCATTTTCAAGGCCAAGGCATGTTCAACCAAACACAATGTATATATAATAACAAATCGTGTAATATCTCTCTATATTATCTCTCTATATATAATTTTCGAATGCGTTGAACCTAAGTGGCAGGTTCGCATGCTTCGGGATCCTAGGTGTCAAAATTTCATGCTTTATTATTTGGCTTGGATAAATTTTAATTTAATTTCAATAAAAAAAATAAGTTCGGATTACCATAAATATGTTGATTTATTTATGATCATTTTAGATTTATTAATTGTATTTTAATATCATTTCCTCTTTTAACTATTGAATTATAAATGTATTTTAAAAAGTTTATAACTTTTGTATTTCATATCGGCTTTACATATATAATATATCAAATTAATCATCGTTTGATTAGTTTCGATTTGGCATTCATATTGTATATATAAATAAATAAATTATATTTATCTTTACAATAATAAAAAAAAAATATTTATTAAAATTAATTAGAAAAATAAAATTATTTCGCAATTAATATTTTTATGTTTAATGTAGTTATATATTATAAGTTAGAAAAATTATTATAATATAACACAGGTAAGTCCCCCAAGTAACAAGTGTCATACTAAAATATATAATAATATATATTTCTTATAAAAAGTATTTAAATTTTCAACTATTTTTTCTCATTAATTTTAAATTTTAAGAAAAAAAATTAGCAAACACACGTGTAATACACGGGCGTTGTACTAGTAACTCCATAATGCACAACCAAAAACATCATGAATATTATGGATATAGTATATTTTAAAAATAGTATATGTCATAAAACTTGATTATTGTACACATAAAATTTATATTAAAATAAAAAATCCAACAGGATACACCATTGTTTATCAACCTCAATGTCATAAATTTATCATAAACTCGCATTTTTCTGAACATACTTGATTGTACATTTAAATTGAAATATAAATTGGAGACTATAAATAACATCCTCTCTGTATATTATTATTATTTCCTATATATTATTTCCGAATGCGCTGAGCCTACGTGGCTGTTTCTGGTGCTTCGGAATCATACTTGGCAAAGAATCATGCTTCGTAATTAGATTTGGACAAATAATATTGATATATTAATAATTAATAATTTAGGTTTGGACATTCCATAAATATTATTTAGCTAACTTAGGTATTTTAATATCACTTGTACTAATATAACCCTTTATTTCATGTAATTTTATATACTGAGGCACTAAGTGGATGCTTGGATACAAAATTATCTCAAAAAATTTCAATCATTTTTAACTCAACTAATTTTTTTAACTCAACTTTAACTCAACCTCATTATCATCAATATTTTACTATAATTAAATATTATCAACCAATCATTTATACACATCACATCAACCTTAATTCACTATTCATCAACTCACATAATTTTAACTAACCATCACTTCAACTTCTCTCCCTTACTTTTTACATCAAATCAACTTTAATTATTTTATTTTAAATATTATTTTAATATACCCACTAACAATTACCACCTTTTTCAAAATTAACCAAACCAACCAAAAAAATCCAAACAAATCCAAAAAATTTTATATCCAAGCATCCTCTAAGTGACTATATATCCCTGACTTTTGATTTGTTTCCTTCAATTAACTATTGAATTATAAATGTATTTTAAAAGTTGATAACTTTTGTATTTCTTATCGGTTTTACATATATAATATATCAAATTAATCATCTTTTGATGATCTTCGATTTGACATCCATATTGTATATATGAAATAAATAAATTATATTTATCTTTATAATAATAAAAAATAATAATATTTGTTAAAATTCATTAGAAAAATAAAATTATTTCTCAATTGATATATTTATATATAATGTAGTTATATGTTGTAAGTTTAAAAAATTATTATAATATAACACATGTAAGTTGCACAAATAAAAAATGTCATACTAAATATATAATAATATATATATTTATATTTATGAAAGATATTTAAATTTTCAACTACTTTTTCTCATTAATTTTAAATTTTAAGAAAAAATTAACAAGCACTCGTATAATACACAGGCGTTGTACTAGTTGGTGTATATTAGAGCACCCACAATGTTTTAGGTCTCTTGGAAAAAAATTACATGCCATGTAGGAAATAGACCTAGTATATAAAAAAAATGTTTCCCAGTGCAATTAAAAATGGACCTAGTCTAGCTTATGTGGCAATAAAAAAAAGAGACCTAGTCCACACTTGGTCTATTTTTTAGACTCAAGTACAAACCCAAGCACTCATCATTTATTCCTCATTTAATTTTTCTTTTAATAAATGAAATATATTAGAGCATTTTTATTGGTTATCATGTATGCTAGTCTAGTATTTTATTTTTGCATTGAATAGCTTTTGAGTTTTTTTACTTGAGTTTGTCCATGTCATTTAAGACATTAAGTCTATTTATATGCCACATAAGTAAAATTATGGATGCTCTTATGAAAGAAGTAGGAATATTAAAATTCATGAATCTTAATCATGTTTTAACTTCGGGATATATGATACCAACTGTAAATTCACTCGCAGCACAAATATTTACTTTCATTTGAAAATATTATACAGCATAAACAAAATAAATCTATATTTAACATTATAAGTACGTAATTTTAGTTCACAAACTATAAAAGCCAAGTTGTGTAAATGTTAGACCGCGTGACAACACCATATTCAAAGGAAATAAATCTATATTTAAATTCATGACGCCACAGCATTCAATCAATTCAAACAAGTTCGTAAAATATAGTCAATTGTTATAAAAATGAACATAAATACAAGCCCACATATCAAATTAAAGAGATACAATCCACAGGTCAAATGTGTAGATACATACAAAGAATTTTATAACATGAATAAGCAATTTCTAAGGACATAAAAACAAACGGCGAATTCACCATTGATCTCAGGCGAATGAGTTTTGCTCGACCAACTTCCAAATCACACAGCCATTCGCTTCTTGACAAACTTACACAGAAGGTGAAGCGCAAAGGAAATAGAGGAAAGTTACCTTTCTCACATACATTAGCTTCACTGACTGTTTCGTATGAACTAGTGAACTTGCTCACGTGTATCTCAGCTGGAGCTAGCCCACAAAGAACTGAGCCGAGCTGCAAGCTTTGCGCTCTTATAGTCATCTCTGAGCTGAATAAACCTGATTTTGTTTGCACCCATTTCAAAATTGCGTCACGTAAAAACATCCGACGAGTATTAAAAAGTAAAAAAAAAAAAAAAA